CATGGGCCGCACCATGAAGGAGGACCTGGAGGCCGTGGTGGAGCGGCTGAAGCCGCTGTTCCCCGCCGAGTTCGGCGTCGTGGCGACCTACGCCGAGAGCTACCACCGGCACTTCGCGGACCAGCTGGCCGCCATGGCGCAGTTCGAGCTGTGCGATCGCGACACCTACATGCTGCTGGTCTGGGTGCAGAACCTCTACCCCAAGTGAGTGGGCAGGGAGGGGTGTCCAGGCCTGCGGAGTCGGGGTCTCGTTCTCTTGCCCGTGCTGGAGTGCAGTGGCGCCGTCACGGCCCGCTGCAGCCCGGGCCTCCCGGGCTCAGGGGATCCTTCTGCCTCAGCCTCCAGAGTTGCTGGAACTACAGGCGGGCACCACCACGCCTGGCTGCTGATGCTTCTTCTTCGTCTTCGTCTTGGTCCTCTTTGTCGTCCTGTTATTATTATTACTGAGATGAGGTCTTTGTATGTTGCCTAGGCTGGTCTCAAACTCTTGGGCTCAAGCAGTCCTCCCACCTTGGCCTCCCAAAGTGTTGAGATTACAGGGGTAAGCCAGCGCACCTAGGCAGGGAAGAGTTTTTAGTGAGGCCAGTGCTTGCAAAGTTGTGGGTCCCAGAACACAGGGGTGGGACTTAGATTCACAGGGGCAGAGCCTGGGTGTGCAGGGTATGGGCACAAGTACATGACTGGGTCTGTTTTGCATTTGGAATCCTTAATTTCCTAGATCTCAGTCACCAGCTGCAGTTGGGGAAACTGAGGCACATGAAATGACAGGGACTTCATTCATGAGCTCCCAGTCTGGGGAGGAGGTGAAGCAATCAGTGAGGATTCAGGGCAGGAAGGCCTGTGAGAGAGGAGGCCAGACACAGGAGAGCCCAGAGCAGGGCCTAGGGGAGTCAGGGAGGCCAACCTGGAGGTGGGAGCCAGCATTCCTGCTCTGAGGCAGCTCACCATCTCAGGGCTGTAAGGGAACCAGGCTGGGGAAGGAACAGGGCAGGAGGGAGGAAGGTTTTCCTGGCAAAGGGAGTGCCATCTTCCAGGGTCCGAGGCTGAGCGTGGAGCATTCTGGAGCTGAGAGCGCTTGTTGGTGTTTGGATGGCATGGCAGGTTGTGGAGGCAACCCTGTCAGGAAAGTTGGGGGTGGGTAGGGCCAGGTGTTCTGTCAGAAGGATCCCTGTTACACAGGGTTGCCCTGTGAGCCCACAGCAGAGCTGGGTCCTGGCCAAGGCCTGGAGCGCCTCAGGTGGGGGTGGCTGTGCCAATGTAGGACAGTTGGCACCCTGGCTTGGTAGAGCCTTGGGCATCCCCGAACTGGCCCAGCCCTGTAGACCCAATTGTGCCCATCATTCATGCCAGCAGTGCAGTGTGGAAATGCCCAGGATATGGGAGGCTATGGTGAGGCTCCGGTGGGAAGTCTGCGGGAAGGAAGCTGAGATGTAGACAGCGTGAGCAGGTGTAGACAGTGTAAGCAGCATCTGAGGGTCTCAGGGGCCTTTGGGCTGGTGGTGCTGACGGGCCATCCTCCAGCAGGAGGACGGGGTGAGTGGGAGTGGTGGGTGAGGAGTCAGCAGGGCACAGGGAAACTGTCACCAGGCAGGGGCTGCAGGAGAGACAGCCCAGCCCCAAGCCAGTTCCTGCTTGCCTGTCCTGACTCACCAGGAAGTGCCAGGCACTCATGCCTCTGCCTGCCAGCCTTCCTCTCCCAGTAACCTCAGGGCATCCTAGTCCAGAGCCCGGGGGGTTAGCAAGATGGGAAATTAAGGCCAAACTGGGCACAGAGTCCTGGGGAGGGAATGTTCGGGGAGGCAGTGCTGAGGTCTGTGTGGCCAGAAGTGTGGGGAAAAGAGGGACAGGGCTGCATCTAGACAGAGTGAAGGGCTCAGAGAGGGTCACTCTGAGGCCTCTGGGCAGACAAAGGCGCCTTAGGAAATGCCGGGGCTGGGCAGGTCCCGTGGGAGCCCTGGGACCCCGCGGAGGCGCCATGGGAGTGAGCCGAGACGCCTGTGTTGAGTGATTTGGGGGCAGCCCTTCCTGCCCAGATTGGCCCACCCTCCAGGCAGCGGGGTCGGCCTGGTGGGGTGGGG